GCGGACCCAGCTTCAGCAGCGCCTCCTGCGGACAGCGACCGCCTCGCACCACCGCTGGGACCCGGGGACCTCCCAGGGGTGGACATGGGCGCCTTGGACCCCAGTGACCACCCCTTGGAGGACATGGGTTGATGGGACCTCAATGAACTCTCCTTGGAGGGCATGAGTGGATGGGACCCCAATGACCACCTCTGGGAGGACATGGGTGGATGGGACCTCAATGACCACCCATGGTGGGACGTGGGGGCCTTGGACCCCAATGACCACCCCTTGGAGGATGTGGGTTGATGGGACCTCAATGACCTCTCCTTGGAGGACATGGGTGGATGGGACCTCAATGACCACCCATGGTGGGACATGGGGGCCCTGAACCCTAATGACCACCTGTGGGGGGAACAAGGGCAGATGGGACCTCAGTGTCCACCCATGGTGGAACATGGGTTGATGGGACCTCAGCGACTACTTCTAGGGGGACATGGGTGGATGGGACCTCAATGACCTCTCCTTGCAGGGCACAGGTTGATGGGACTCCAATGACCATCTCTGGGGGGACATGGGCAGATGGGACCCCAATGACCTCCCATGGTGGGTCATGGGTGGATGATATCCCAAAATGCCCTTTCAGGGGCACCTAGATATCCAGGACCCCAAAACCTCCCCCGGGGAGAACCAAGGTGTCCAGGCCCTGGTCACCACCCAGGAGATACCCCCCATGTCCCAGGGTGGGGGTACCTTGCTGAGCTGGGACATGACCTCCCAGAGGAGGGCGTGAAGGGTGGACAACTCGCGGCCCAGGTCGATGTAGCCCTCGAAGCTGGTGCTGTTGGTGAGGGTGTCCAGGTTGGAGATCTCATAGAGGAACTGCTGCATGCTGGTCCACTCCAGCTCCAGGAACTCATTCATGAAGGCCATGTACTCCTCCTTGCTGCCAAACCTGTGGGCAGGAGCTCTTCAAGGCCACCCCAAGAGCTGGTGTCCCCCCATGAAGGTCTTGCCCCCCATCCTCTGTCCTTCTGTTCCCTCTTCTTCATTCAGAAAGCTACACCTGGTGTTCACCCAGCTCTACTGTATGTCCTCCATCCATCTGTACAACTTATCCATCCATCCATCCATCCATCCATATCCTCCATCATCCATCCATCCATCCTCCATCATCCATCCATCCATCATCCACCATCCATCCATCATCCATCCATAATCCATCCACCCATCCATCCATCCGTCCTCCATCCTCCAT